AAAAAAAAAAAAAAACCAGATTCAAGTGATCCACAGACAAGCATAAAGATGTGATAACCAACCTTTTCAGTGACACCATTAAATTTTGTTATAAGAGCAGAGAGAGGCACTTGTGGTATGATATTTTGCATCTGCTCATCACGATATAATGGAGCAGCCGGCAAATCCAAGGTCAGATAAAGGAACGGTACTTCAAGCTTCTTCTCTGCATGAAAAATTTCGTGATTACATGGCGTACTTTAAAAAAAAAAAAGCAAAACCAATTACTAGCTGGGAAAATTCAAGTGAAAAGTGTTACGAAAATTACTGAAATAATTTTGAACATATATTTTCAAAATATTCCGAACAAACAATCTTTCGCCGCCCTCCAGTCCTCTTTTTTTTGTATTTTTTAATCTTAACCATATAACAAACCCACAACGAACTGTTTTTTAAATTGTAAACTAGTGCTGGCGCAGCCAGCTTATCAAGAGTTCCTAGGCCATACGTAAAGGAGAGAACCTCGACAGCGGTACCACTGCATGAAAGCAGCTGGCAAAATGCTGGAACTCACTCAGAACATCCCCAAGTGCCTTCATAATTCATGGAAAACAGAAAAAAAAAAAAAAGAAATTTTGATCCTTAATATCATTCAGTGAAAAAATGTAAAACCCTGCGATCAGCAATAAATATTTATGAGCGGTTTTCTGACTTATGGCTCACTATCGATTGTATGCACTGCGCCACTGCAAAAAAAAATTATATTTGAAAACAATCGCTGTTCAAAGGCCATCCAACGATAAGTGCCCCGGGAAATTTTTGACAGAATCAGAAAATAACTAAACAAGCATATTTAGCAAGTAAATTTTTAATCCATTCACACGGATGAAACATCTCAAAATGCCAAGAAACACTGGAAAGCTCATGCAAGGACACTAAGAGAAACTGGAATTACAATTTTTAGAAATTTTTTGTGCAAACACTGCTTCTCCTGCTGGAGTTCAGACTTACCCTTATATTCATCTGTTTCGAGCAATGCTCGCCGAGCCTCCTCAGTTGTTTCCACTGGTATCACTTTTCGTGTGTACTCATGTAAATGACCACGAAATATTTTGTAAATTATTGATGAAGAGGTCTTGCGAGTACCATTCAACGCTCTGTGAAGTGTATTAAGCAGGAAATTCAGAAACTCAGCGGCATCTCCTGCAAAATCAGCCAGAAATGCTACTGGTAAAGCATCACAAAACGTTCAGATACTTGTCAAAAAAAAGAACTATGAAAGTGATAATAATACAATCGAAAATTTGAGGATTATGAGAGATAACTGGGTTGCAAACAAGCTACTATTGCTGTCACCACTACCTGCTGTTACACGAGGGGACAGTACATGCTCAGTCAGCATGTCCATAGCTCCGACATCCCCATCTTTTTGCCTCATGGTATTATATTATCAGTGAATATTAGAAAGCTATTTGTTTCTTTTCAAAAACTTCGCAAAAAAAGTTAACTTCTGAAAAATCCCTGGGGCAAACAACAGACCTATCTCACAAATTTATGCAAGATCAAGAAGTGACATCGAGAAAATTCGCACTGGAAAACCAATGAAATAAAAAACTCTTGCACATTTTAAAAAGGAAGATGAAAAATACCTTGTTTGGTGATCTGAAATTTTTTGTTGCTACACAGAACACTGGCCTGTAGCATTTCATGAGGTGAAACATGTGCTTTGAATGCTTTCGGGTTCCACAGCTTTCGCAACAATTCACCGAAACGTTTGGGCAGCATTATTAGCTTATCACCAGGTGGGCGTTTTACATCTGCATAATTTTCTTCACGCAAAAAATAATCACGAAGTGGTGGGACATGCGAAAGCGCCTGAAATTTGCTTAATAAATAACCAGCACGATCACTGCTCACATATCCTTCAAACTACTGCTTTTTTCTAAAAAAAAAGTGATGGGCCAAGAGTTAAGTCCGTTTAGCTTCTTTCCTAGGAACAAGTAGAGGAATGAACCATCAACACTGCATGAAAGCAGTTGGCAAAATGTTTGAACTCACTCAGACCATTTCTAAATGCTTTCTTCACTCATGGAACAAAAAAAAGAAGTTTCGATCTTTAACATCATTCGTTAACGGCACTGTTTTTTCCAGCAGATGCTTCTAGCTAAAAGAATTGAGACTGGCCATCACCACAGTGAGAAAAAATCCCCTTAGAATTTCATCTTTCTAGCTCCTCAGATTCTCGAGTTAGCAGCTTAAGAAATTTTCACGAGCTCATACGTGGGAAACACGTGGGCAAGAGCACCTATTCTGGGGATAGGGGCCAGTACATGCATGTAAATTAAATCGCCAAAATATCAGCCTTATAGCTTTTGTAGGTCTCGAAATAAATAAATAGCAACGCGCACCAGACTAGCCGGTGCGACCATGCGTTTTGTGCAATTCAGCCCAT